GGGGGGGGTCGAGGCTTGGCGAAAGTATAGCACTACTGACGGAACCGTGAGAGATGTATCAGGCCCGTCCATCTAGATTATATGTACCGTGTTGTGAAGTGATTTGTTTTGTCCTGCTGCCTTTCCTTTGTTGGCTATCTTTGAATCATAATCCCACCGCGGCGCTAGACAGCTGGATGCAGCAAGGACGAGGAGTGAGTTTTTCTTGTTGTTGTTGGACGGGGTCATGATCACCATTGTCCGTGTGGAGGGTGGCCTTTCCTCTGTATTAGTGCAGGCAGGCGTGTTTGTCGCCGGACTCGTGATGAATTCGGTCTGGAAGGTGTCCGCGATGAAGGATGCACTATGCGGAGAGACGGGCAGCCCCGGCTACTCAGTTTTGACCAATCAGCGAACTGCGTGCCACAAATGTTTCTCCCTTGTGGTCTGGCTTTAGCTTGACGAACCCCGTCTGGCCTTTCTTCGATGGTTTGTGTGGTGCACACTGGCTGGCTGGAGCATTTTGTCCCTATTTATTTTTTTCTCTGAAAAGTCTTCTTACTTGTCCGAGAACCAAAGGAAACAGTGAGCTGTGTGCTAGGTAAAGGGTGCGCACGGAGTGTAGCCAAGGGAGAGTAGCAGGCTTGCGGTTGCGGTGGTGGGACAAAAAAAAATACTTCCAAGTATAAAAACAGGACCATGTAGTGGGTTTCTGCGAAGGTTTTGAAGATACCGCGTAGGTGCATGTGCATGGAGAGCAGCACACAGACGAATGGACAAACAAGAGGTTGTTGTAAAATCGGTCTCGTTAAGTGTAGACTAATGGTTGAATGATGGATGACGCGCGGTTGATGTTTTCTCTCACGAAGCAAAAGCCCCGTCGAAGTTGTGCATGATGTATTCCGCGATTGGTGCGTCCGTCCGTTTTCGCGTACAACAGCAGTAGTAGTGCACCAAGCGCGGGTACTTTGCATCTTGCAGAGTGGAGGGTGCTTTTACAAAGAACATCTCCACCGGAAAAAGACTGTATGAATGAATGAATGTGGTCATGCACAGGGTACTTTTTTCAAGCCTTCTGAAGTCGGTGTGTGTTAACAGCTGCAGCAGCAGCAGTTTGTGCGATGCGGTGAATTTGCCACCCCTCGAGCAAATGAACAGTGATTGAATGCACTCCTCCCGTTGGGCTAAGTGAGTCTCGCCCGTGGCCATGCTGTCTGCGATGAGATCATGCGTCCTTAGATTCCCGCGACGAACGAAAACAGCATGGAAAAACGAGTGCGATAACGAGAAATTTATACTAGTTTTGGCACGTTGATGGTGGCGGGAACAAACATCGATGGTTTCGCCGCGTACCGTAGAGCTCGGTCCCATTCAATTACCATCGCTCGGCGACTCTCTTCCTGCCGCCCCACGATGCTTTTCTGCCTTGCTGAACTGAAGAACTGTGGCAAATCACAACGCGGCGTCGGTCATGCATCCGCCTCAAATGCGAGCGAAGACTCTAGCACATCGTTTTCCCTCGAGGAGAGGGTACCCGCCGAACAAGCTTTTCTGCGTACATCTCACTGTCATGTGTAGTAGTACTCTAGGCAACAAAAACGGGGGCCATGAAACGGAAAAATATGTCCGACGAAATTGACATTTTGGAGCTCCCACCCAAATGTTCCAAGTATAGTCTATAGCTCGTGTACGAAAGAGATTTATCATTATGGACAGCAGCACCTTCAACATCAGCAACTGGGTGTGTCGTAGGGTTGGTGACGAATCGCCCACGCGAGTGGCTCGAGCACTGCCGCGCTTGAAAAGGCCATTTTTCTTCAGCCATCAGCACTGCGTTGATAAGCGACGGATAGAGCCTGATCTCGCCAGTCACGCGGTTGTAAACCACCGGCAGCAGAAAAAAAAGCACACAGTAGATCGTTCGGTTTAATGTCCCGTCGCCCGCCCCCCACCCCATGGTCAATGCTCGAGTTGCCCTTGACACGATAGACTTATTTATTCACAAATAACACTGGTCAGTATCGAAGCAACAAATCCAACCAATACTGTAACATTAACGAACGCCACGTGGAAACCACCCGTCATCATCAACCATCAACAAGCACGGAACAAAGACTAACTTAGGCTCAACACCACAAACATCTCCTCTCCGATGCCATGTAGTAGCGCACTCGAACACAAACAAACGTACTACATGATCCAAAACATGTCTCAAAAAAACAAGTACTACATGGCAACAAGAACCCAAGGCTCCACAAAGACGAAGTCTCGGCCGCGCATTTACGTCTTTTCAACGAGACGGCCAGCCAGCCGGGAATACCGCTGTTGATGCCAGCATTTCACAACATGCGCGGGCACTTTCTTCCCCGAACACTAAACAAACAGACCGGTCCAAAGGACGGGCGACACACAAAACAAGCGACTTCGACAGCGAAGAGAACATAAACAAGAATATATCACCGACTGAAAGGAGACAAACCTATAGCCAAAAACTTAGCGCTCGTATATACTTGTATAATAAGCTAGGAACCCTTCTACACTAATTATTGTACATTGTACGGCGGCGACATGGGATACTTCCCAAACACAGGGATGGCTAAATTTGGTGGAGATGTGGAGTAGACATAAAATAAGAGCTGCAAAATAACGCAACCTATGGGGTTTCCGGATGACGTTGACGCTACACATATGCCGCCAGCGATCATCTTCGTCGATTGCCAAGATTTGACTCTAAAACCACATCACAGGCAAGGAACGGCTCGGCATCAACACAGCAGCAGCAGCTCGCCATGCCAAGCACACGCATAGGCAGGTATCGGGCGAAAGAAAGCACCCGTACGCCGGCCAACACAACTTCACGCACCCTTTTCCCGGTCTCCCTCTCGGAGACTAACTGACCCTGCTGGAAAAGTTCCCGAAAACCAAAACCGCCTTCCAGACCGCGTAAACACCAAAACCGCTATCCCTGCAACACAACAACGCTATCCATATCCAAAACACAAAGCCCACACAAAAGCGCTGGATAAAATACCAAGCTCTCTCCTCCTATATCCAATATACAGTGTGAATCAGGCCGTCCCATTGTACCCGCCATCGATTAAACGATTTAAGTAGGCCAAGGCAGAGCACTATGTACCCGTAATCAGCAGTTTTACTCCTACCGCACGCTGCGGAAGTAACACCCCTTCATGTCCTGCTGCTCTTCTGCAACCACACCCTTACCGCGCTGTTACTCTCTCGCTCTCTCTCCCCCAAGGTGAGCACGTGCATTGTACTAGTACAACGAGACCTTACGAGGGCAACTACTCTCCCCACGCTCGGAACTAAAACGACAACGGACAGCGACCAATGTGTACAAAGGTCCATCCGCAACAAACTACGCACGGGTGACGCGATATACTCACGCATCTCTCATCGTCACCCCAACCATGGTAACGAAATCCACAGGACAAATTCACAACGAGTCACAGGAACAAATCAGGGAAACAGGATTATCATACCCGGGGGGGGGGGGGGGGGGGGGGGNGGGGGGGGGGGGGGGGGGGGGGGGGGTTGTCCCGCAGCAAAAGCGCGGGGTGTGGCTGCTAATTAGCCCTGTTGGGATATCCTAGCTGTCCATCCCAGGCCGGACTACCGCAGAGTCCAAGCGTACTGGGACAAACCAGATTCCATCTGGTATGCACCTTGCCCCTTCCTCCGAAGGACGCAAACGTACGGCCAGCGAACCTCTCTCGCTGCTCTCCTTGTCACAAACCGAAAGGCCGAGCCGAAATCATAAAGAGACAACACGGCAACGTGCGCCTCTTGTTTACAGCTGAATAGCGTTCCCGACAGCCGCCGACGCTCCGGCGCCGAGGCGGGGGGGAACCTCCCCTCCTCCTCGATCAATTCCCAACCATCCTGCTCTGGCGTACGTGACGAAAGGACTGGCGAGCGGGCGGGGGCGTGCAGCCAAGAAGCTTATGCTTTCCGGGTTGATCATAATCCCACACACCGCATTCCGCCGCACCTTCCTTCTGGTTGTGACAGCCCAACACGCTCATGCTATCCAGGTTGGTCTTGCTACATTCACACTTCCCGCATTCTGCCGTACCTTCAATCTGGTCATAACAGCCCAATCAATACGCTGATGCTATCCAGGTTGGTCTTGCTACATCCACACTTCCCACTCGTTATAAGCTACTACTACAAGCCCTCGCGTTTTATGTACATCGGGTACAAGGTGTCATCGGTGATACCCGACACGGAGCACCAGCTCGTCGACCACGACGCGAGCGATTCGGTCGTACCCGGGCTCCTCCCCAAAAATCTCATAAAACGCCTGCACCGACTTTCGCTGATTCGAGAGACGCGCGCGCGGGGCAGCATCGGCCGAGGGTGGGAGGGGGGGGGGGGGGGGGGGGGG